AAAGCCACCAAAAGAATCAACTTTGTGATTTACTGCTACAATTAATAATTGTCTCAGTAAATGCCCAAACCCTACAGAACTGGTGCCTTCAGAGAGCCACTATGATTACATATTTGGCGTCCCTGAACCGGCATAATCTACATATACAAGTGCATTCTAGGTTTTAATTTAAGACATCACACACCAGATGGGTTTTGTCAATATCAACTGTTTTGGTAAACGGACCAATTGCCGGGGTAACAAAATGATGAGGCTTTATTTGCAGGGGAAATGACTCAAAAGCAAAATCAAGGAATTGTGGTGTCTCCGGGGGAGAGTTTATGTAAACGAAGGTAGTACTTACACCACACTTTTCTTTCCTCAGATCCGTGGAATTTCTTCCAATAACTGTCTTCCTAATACAGTCCGTAATCCGTTCCCTTAGTCCTGATCCGTTCCGAGTTCCAAAAGTCCGTCATAAAGCCAATCGGCGATGTACCCTTAACCAGTGTCCGTAATCCAAAACCATAAACCTTTTCTCCTTGCAGTAGTCCGTTATTACTTAGCCCGATCCTTAACATGCACCTCTTTCCACTCTTTTCCTCCAAGACGCATTCACCTTACCGACTTCCGCCCTGTTCACTGCCTCCGGGGCACTTATATTCCGGTTCCTGATGCGTCTCAGCTGTGTCTCACTGTTTTTTAAGGTAGACCCTCTTGCTAAGGTCCATCTCGAGCATTTTCAGTGTTTCGTTTCGGAAATACCTGTTAGAGATGACCCTTCCCCGGGTCCTCTTACAGAATATAAACAAAATCAGATTTTAAAAGACAGAATCGAGGGAAAGGCAGGTGCAGTGCAGGGAAGGCAAAACAAGTGAACAGAAACACACCTCCACCTCCCTACTGGCCCCACAAACACCTCTTCCAGCAGCAGCCTTAGCTTTCCCAGGAGTCTCCCACCCAGGTACTGGCCAGGCTCACACTGCTGAGCTTCAGTGGTGCCAGCTGTGAGCTGCACAGTGACATAGCTGCTGGGTATATTTGCTAGAGTGACTACTACAGATGGGATGCTTTCAATTAAAATCCCTTGCAGCATGCACTGGGCAGTTCATATTAATTGTCACAAGAAGAAAAGTAAATTCAAGATATGTGGCACATGTGCTGTGTTGCGCAAACTTTGTTGAGACTCAATTCAGTGGATACTTGTTTTTAGAAATTTAACCTCTCTCACCTCTAAGTGTTCAGTTTGATTAATCAAGCTTTGATTAATAATATTCATAAACGATAATAAATGATTTTTATACACAAACAGAACATTGGAAGGTGGTAAATACTTTTCAAAGGCACTATATCTACTGTATTAGACAGTCTGTACAGGGAGTGCTGATATCTAACGCTACTTGTTTTTACTTCATGTCAAATTTCATTTTATAGAAAGAAAACCTCTTCCACATTGCATGACCTGGATTAAAACACTGAGGAAAAACATGCTTATTGAAGAACTAATCAACTTAACTGTATTCTCCAGATATTGGTGGACTGTAGCTTTACAACCTCCCAGCCTGATATCAGTACCTTACAGGACACAATCCAGCGAGCACAAAAAGCTGATCACCAAAAAACCTAACTACCACTAAACCCTGTTTTTGAGCAAACCAAAACCTAAAAAGGCACAAGGTGGGATACACCCTGGATGGGACACCATTCCATTGCAGGGAGCACAGATATGTTTCTACACCCTTTACCAATTAACTGATTAAGGAAAAGTATTGGAGTATTTAACATTCGTTTGTAAAGAAAAATATGCAGGCACCCTGTCACAGAGAAAAATGACCAAAATCAAAATCAAGGGGATACAGACAATAGAAGATTTTAAATACAGCATTGAGGTGAAGGCAGAACAAGTGTGCAGAAACAATACACAGTTAACTCCTTCAGCAAATCCAAAGATATCGAAATTATCCTTAAACAATCCCCTCTTTTAATCCTGAGCTCCACATACTGTGTGAAACACAGACCAATTCTGTCAGACAAGACAATCCAAATGGAGGAGACTGAGTGTTGAATTAGAGATGACAGAGAGCCAGCAACAAGCACTGGACACTGAGATACATCATGTATGACACAATGAGCCATTACACACTGTTTGAAATGCTTTATTTATGAATGCGAGCTGTACACAGTCTGTGCATGTCCAATTAATGGACTGGGTATGAATGGTCTCAATCCACACAACATGTCCACTATGCCAACAACAATTTTTACAGAACTTACTGATATAACAGCCAGAACTGCAAGATATTTTCTGGGTCATTGCTCTTGTGTTGAAACACCATGGCAAAGCAATCAGTTAGAAAAGCATTGAAATGGATATCATTTGGAAAGACAAAACATACTGAACTAACTTCAAGTCATACTCATTTTACACACTGTACTGGTAAGTACATTGTTTTTAAAAAGCGCAAAAAAATGTAATTTCATTTTAAGTTTTAAAATCTAAAGCTTTATATTGAAAAACAAATGGCTTAATATAAACTACATTTAATTAGTCATTTTTTTATCCTCGAACAGTTTGTTCTCAGGCATATGAAATAACATGAAAGTTGGATATGTTGTGAGACACGTGACAAATAAAAAATACAATATTGCTTCAAGGTGACCATGCATTGCATTTATTGTATGAGTTATTAAAATTCATATCTGACTTGTAAATGCTTTGATCTTCACTGTGACAATACCTTCAAGTGTTTAAAATAATATTTTCTGCATACATGTGAACAACTGCTCCATATTTTTGTGATTTGGTTTGATGGTACTGTCTCTCTCGATACATGTACAGTACAGTTGCGTGATTTTTTAGATCAGAAAGTGTGGCATACTGTGTGGCACAGTGGCGGAGTGGTTAGTATAGGGTGCCATCTGTGTGGAGTTTGTATGTTTTCCCCATGTTCATATAGGTTTTCTCCAGATGCTCTGTTTTTTTTCCACAGTCCTGGCCATGGTGTGGGTGTTTCTGTCTGTGTATGCCCAGAGATAGACTGGTGTCTCGCCCAGGGTGTATTCTGCATTGTTCTCTTTTCTTGTTTCACCCTGAATTGGATGAACTGGTTAGAAATGTTTGGATGACAAAGTAATAAAAACTGAAACCCTCAGAGTAATTGATATTTTTTTCTCAATTGCTTACGGCTGTTTAAGTGGAAGATAGTTTGAAAATAAATCCCAAATTTAGAACTGTACAACAGTCGGCTATACAAATATGGTGTACAGCAATATCAGTTCCTGTAGTAGAACAGTAAAGATGCATTAGAATCACATGTCATGGTTTATCAGGATATTCTAACGGATTCTAATGGAACGGAAGTGGAACGGAAGTGGAAACAGTCACCAGCTTTAGGTTTTTGGGAATTCACATCTCTAAAG